CTGGTCTCTAACTTACAGAGATCAACACCATAACTGGCCTAATATCTGAGTTTTAAAATAAGAATTAAGATGATACAAAAGTTTTCTTTTAAATTGAAGTGGTGAATGAGGTATTTACTGCTGCAAATTGATCTGGCTGTTTTTCCTCTAATTTATAATAATGCTTTTCTAAATACATACAAATAAATGTTTGCATACTCCTTCCTATATATCTCTTTTGTTACTAAATCTCATCTTAATTATAAGAACTTAATTCTTATTATATACATATATGCTAAAGAGATATTAATTCCTTAGTTATTGTTAGGACAACAAAATGGCTTAGGTTTTTGTTTAAAAGTTGGTGTAATTGGGGCTGGAGAGATAGCTCAGCTGTTAAGAGCACTGACTGCTCTTGCAGAGGACCCGGGTTTGATTCCCAGCACCTACATGGTGGCTACGAACCGTCCTTAACTCCAGTTCCAGGGGAATCCAAAGCTCTCTTCTGACCTCCACAGCATTGAACAACATGGGTGCACTCACATACATGCAGGCAATACACCCATATGCATTAAATTAAAATAAGTAAATAAATAAATGTATTTTTTAAAAAGTTGGTGTAATCAAATTGTGGAAAGGCCATATTTCTTACTTTTGGCAGGGAGTACCTTGAAAATGCTCAAAGTACATCTTGCCAATTTTAAATGGAAGCATTTAATGATACTGTATATAGACTGAAAATATTACAAACTCTTTCAAGGTGAGCTCTAAGTGTTGTCCTTCTCAGAATGAAAGAGAAGATAAGGACAATACTGAGCAAGGTACTCCTTACTATGAAGTGGAGCTAGCTAACAAACAAGGCAGGTTCGTGAAATCTGATGAGCATAGTTCTATTACTACTTATGTTTTGTTTTAGTTTTGACTACTACTCCTGTTAGATATCTCTGTCCAGATCTTACATTTTCTTAAAAGATTTCATACTGAGAACCTGAGCATTGTAAGCAAAATGAACTAGGACAGGACGACGTAATTTTTTAATTTCTGGAGGATCTATATGAAAACTAACTCCACAGCAAGAGTGTGCATAGATAATACTTTTTAAAATATGCTGTTAAGTATTGCTATATAACTGGAAACTTAAAGTTTAAAACTTAAAATTATATGCAATTTTAAATTTTAATAAACCCATGAAAATTGAAATTTCCTTATTTAAATCCTTAATAAAAAAATCTGTAATCCTTCTCTACTACATTCACTAAATGAAAAGAAAACATATATTTGATATTCTTAATTGTTACATATTCAGAGAAAAAGTGATTAAAGTGTACTTATGTTTTCCCAAGTTCACCCACATGATGGTGAAAATCAAGACTTCCAGGAGATTATGTCCAGGGGGACAATGAGGAGGAATAGGTATGAGAAGTGTGTAAGGCTCAGGAAAGCCCAGGTGTCCTCTCCTGACCCTATGCAAATGACTCCACTTTCTGGTTCATTGAAAAAATATCAATCAACCATGAGATATAAAACTCCAAAGAGGTCCTGCCAGAGTTTGTTCCAAGTCACAGATCCTGTTTTAAAGTCACTAAAGTGACCACCTCTATTCAATAATCAGTCCAAATACAGACTAAAACAATTACACATTTTATCCCACTTCTTCCAGTTTGTGCTCTCCGTCTTTCAGTCGGACACCATCTTTTAGTGTACCAAGTGCAATTAATTACTTACCCACAATTCCTGACCTTTAATTTCTCTGGTGTTCTTTGTGCCAGGGCATTGGTATTACAATGGCCTGCCTTTGGTATTGCCTTCATTCCACATGCCTGGATGTAAAGAAGAGTTCTGATGGGCAGCTGTACCATTTCCCATCATACTCTCTAGGAAAATGGCCATCATCATCAGTATTTTCTATGCTGTCATTATAATACAGTTCAGTCTGCTACTACTATTCTATTGTATTCCGGTATTTGCCCTTACTGTGATGGTATAACACAATCTATCAAGACGAACCTTCGGGCTATGTGGTATTACCTGAGATATTATGCCTAAGCTGTACCTTGAAAAGGAACTTTTCCTATCTGAGAAAACATATTAAGAGAAAGCCACAGTGTGTACCCAAGGAAGCCAATCTTCCTGTTAACCAGCTCTTTCTCCTGTCCATCTAGGTTCATATCTATAAAAGAGTCACAGTGAGGCTGGGTGTGGTGGTGTGTGCCTTTAATCCCACCACTTTGGAGGCAGAGACAGCCTCTATGAGAGTGAGGCTAGCCTGATTCACATAGCAAGTTCCAGGCTAGCTGGGACTATAAGGACACCCTGTCTCAAAAAACAAACACAAACAAATAAGCAACAACTCCTCCCAAATCCACAATGAAGAAATCATGAAGAGGCTTCAACCAGTGCTGAGAATGTCATTCATGTTATTCTCTCCATGACTGGGTCTGGGTCTTCTTGTATAAAATCTCTTCTTTATCCTTTTCCTTCTCTTCTCTTCTCTTCTCTTCTCTTCTCTTCTCTTCTCTTCTCTTCTCTTCTCTTCTCTTCTCTTCCTTCTCTCCCTTCTCTTCCTTCTCTCCCTTCTCTTCCTTCTCTCCCTTCTCTTCCTTCTCTTCCTTCTCTTCTCTTCTCTTCCTTCTCTTCTCTTCTCTTCTCTTCCTTCTCTTTTCTCTTTTCTTCAGGGTCTTTTGTAGTCCAGGTTGGCTTCAAAGTTATACTATAGCTGAGGAGGATTATCTTGAACTTCTGATCCTCCTGCCTGTACTCCTTAATGCTGAGATTACGGGTGTGTGCCATCATGCCTGTTTTATGCTTTGCTGGGGATAAAACTGTTCATGCTAGGAAAGATATTTACCAGTTAAGCCACATCCCCAGGTCTGTTACTAGATATGTAACAAAGATATGATAAAATATTTTAGTACTGCATGGTTACCAAGAAAAGGAATTATTTTCATAGAAAAAGGAAAATACTGATTTTCTAAAATTTTTGACAATTTAAAATAATGTACTAGGCATGGTGGTACATGCCTATAACTCCAACATTTGGAAAACAGGCAGGAGTGTTTAAGTTCAAGGCCATCCTAAGTTACATAGTGAATTCAAGTTCAGTCTGGGCTACTTAGAAAGACCTTGTCTCAAAAAACTAAAACTATCTAACCAACCAACCAACCAACCAATCTGTGATGAACTGAGTACACAGACAGAAAAGAGCAATGCTCCTGGATTCACACCGAATTCTTAACAGTGTGTTATATTTTTCTTAAGACAGATAGTACTCACTATCTTAAAACATACCTAAATTTGAGACTGGATACAAAGGCTTCCAATTAATTAATAAATGTTTCTTTAGTGCTCATCAGCATAGCAGACACCCAAACTCCTCTGAAGCATTATAGTGGGGAATTTCCCTTTCCACATACTAAATCTGGATTCAAGGGCTCTTCTAAGCTCAGAGTTGGACAGGGGCTGCAGGAGCGTGGTGCAAATCATGCATAGTTCTGTTGCTCACAGAAGACCTGTGCTAGCTACTTCCTATTCTTTGCTCTTCAAAATGGTGGAGTAAAAATGTGGTCCCATAGCATTTTCAGCTAGACTACTTAAAGTGACCTGGCTCTTAAACTTACATAGCTAATCAACCAGAAAAGTCATTAAAAGACTTCATAGCACCCATGTTACACTGTGAGATTCCTTAAGCATAGCTGTATTTCCCTCTTCCACATACCATTTTAGTCATCTATTAATCTTGTTTAGATTTTTGTGACTTAGTGTGCTATACCTAAAAGGTGTGAGAGGAAAAAGAAAAGCACAACTCAAATGGTAGGCTTCATTTCCATTCTTTATTAGTTTTAAAATGTGTGGAGTTGGACTGGGGAGATGGCTCAGTCAGTAAAGCACCTACTGTGCAAGCATGAGGACCTGAGTTTGGATCCCCAGAACCCACATAAAAAGCCAGGCATGGCCCAATATCCCTTTGACCTCAGCTTTGGGTGGTGGAGAGAGGTAGAGACAGGTGAATTCCCGATACTCATTGGCTAACAAGCCTAGCCAAATCAATGAACTTCAGGTTTGGTGACAGAACCTACTTCCCCCAACCAAAAAACTTGCGAAGTCATAAAGGTATCTTAGAGCCATGTGATTCATTGCCCTTCAATTATCACCTTTTAGCTAAAAATAAAGTCGGTGATACACACATAGATTTCAAATGTAATGTTTCTGTGAAATGTACCTATAAAAGCCAAGTTTGCCTTGACATTAGTCATTACTGTGTTCTAGAAATGTTCTTTTTCTTTTTTGGAGTTTAGATTATTTGTGTCACTGCAGTGCTGTAGTCCACAGATCATATCTTCCTGTGGGGCTGCTTCCAGAGCTGTTCCCATGGTATCACATCAGCCAGCAAACGTTCTGAAGAGATGGGCTAGATTCTGTTACTCTTAATTGACAATTTAAAATAAAATTTTATAATAATGAAGTTTTCACTTAAATATTTTATGATATATGCACATCTATATGTGGCATATGAACCTAGGGCAGGACTGTAACTTCAACTCAACTCATTTTTAGTGGATGTAGTGTTGAAGTGGGGTTTTTTTTATTTCTTTTTTTTCAGTCAAAGGGGGCTGTTTTTCTCATGCTAAGGGCTTGTTTGCGGCTGTGTTGATGACCATCTACCCATTTTTTGTCCCTAAACTGATTCTCCAGTTCTTAACTTTATTTAAGACTATGTCTTATATGACCAGTTAGGATCATGAGAACTGATATTAGACATGTAGAGACAGATACCATCTTCTTCTGGTCAGATGGCATCCAAGTCCTTGGTACAAGACATCCCAGTGAGTATGCTGGTTGGTTCATCTTAAATTCCTGTTTTTGGCTCTCCAGGAAGTCTGTACTCTACTATTCATAAGATATTTGAAAACAAGTATAGCCCTTACTCTGAGTAGGTATGTGTGGAATAAATCATAATGATGACATTGGAATCAGTTAAACATAATTTTTTTCTCTTTTTATGCACAACTTGACATCAAAAGCAAAAAGAGGTAAGTTGGCTAAAATATGTAGGCAAACCTTATTTTCCTTAATAGATTTAATCCCAAATAACTTTGCTTCAATTATATTTCTTTAAATCAAATACTTTTACATCAAGAAGCTTCTCATAAATCCTTATTTTGTTCTTTTGAAAGATGTATAAGTACCTTCTGTAAATTTGGATTTCAAAAATATCTACAATTTAAACATATTTCTCTTCCCATAAATTCTGATGTAATTTAAATATTAGGACATTTTTTTAACACTTCATTTAGTTTGGATTATTGTTTGCCCCATAGTGTGTTTTACATTACATGCTATAAGAACTCAAAAAAAAAAAAAAGAAAGAAAAGAAAAGAAAAACACAGAACAAAAGAAAACCATAAGAAACCAAGCCAAGAAACAGTTGACACTGGTGATATATTGATTTTTTTCAGAAGAGGATACCCTGAACGTCTCAGAATGTTTTCAGTGTGATTTTGCTGCAATGATTTAAAAATGAAGAAAATTACTGAAATAAGAAAATCAAACACATTTCATTGAGTGATAGCTCCTATATTTTTCTTGCCTGGGATCTATTTTTATAACTGAAGTTTTAAGCAGACTTTTGGTTATAATTTGTTTAATTTCTCTCTTGTGATCTTTGATGATGAGTTAGGACATGAAATGCTGATCTACATTTGATACATGCTAATTAACTTTGCTTATCAAGGACAGACTGCCTTGTCATTACAGTTAACTGTACCAACTGGTATTACTCTTGAGAAGGTCATTTCTGAACAAAAAGTCTTGTTTGAAAAAGTGCTGAATTAGTGTGAGAATCTGGTGACAAAATGTACTTTTACCTCTTGGTGCCATTGTAAATAGTTATTGCCTTTCCCTTTATCATCGATTTCTGTTCTACTTATGGTTCAGAAGCAGAAAGATGCAGACAATTTATATATTTCTCTTTTGTAAGATTTTCATAAAATAGATTTTTCTATAAATGTTGCTTTGTCTTACCAACTAGTCATGGTATCAAGACAGCAAATAGGAAGCCTCATGAAAGTTCTTGTCTAATCTGTAAACTTTGGAAAGTCTAAAAAATTGTTTCTTCTCTGCTTCTCAGCAAGTCCTGCTCTGGTTTCACATTGGTGATGGCAGTTTTAATGCTTGCACCAAAGTGTGATAAACTCATATGGTTGTCACTTAAGAAAGGCAGAACCAAATGCTTTTAGAAATTTTCTATTTTTGCATGAACTATATTGATTTTTTGATGTTTCAACAGTTCTATTGTTTGTTCGCTGAAGAATTTTAATGCATAATATTTGTTTCTGACTATCAAGGACTAAACATTTAATGGAATTTGCTGTGTTAAACACTGGCTGAGTGTCTGGTGCTATAAATTAACAGATTATACCCCTGAGAAGTTGAAAATTATACTATCATCTTATCTGTGGTTACTTTTAGAGAACTTATGTATTATAGAACATGTGATACATTTGTCAAACAGGAATGAGATAACCAACTTTATGTGTTTGATTATAAAATGTCAAAGGTTGTTCATAGCTACACATTTTTATTAGTGTCAATATAACACTAAATTTGTTACTGGATTTTTGAAAATATTTTGCTGACTACTATTAGTATTTATGTATTTCTACCTCATCCTCTCCTTTATTTCTCCATATAATATTTCTATCTCAAGTTTTCCTTATGTGTGTCTTTTCAGTTGATATGTCCAAGAGTCCTTAGGACTACTTAAGTAATGTACTTGATGCTTCTTTCCATTAACTTTTATCTTAGTTCATTAACACACTATTAAAATTTTGTAGATTTAGTGAGGAATAATTTAGTATTATTGCTATCGACACATCTTAAAATATGACAATTTAAAAATCATTTTCCTGATTTAAAGTTTCCAATCATCAAAAAGGAAAATTAACATCATTGTATAAACTTTAAGATTTTTATTAGATAGCACTTCTTTCTTATTCTTTTTGTTAGAAACATGTTTTGATGACAGGAGTGCCTGATTTGGAAACTCTTCCTTAACTGGATCTGTCAAACATTTGCAAAATACTCATAAAGAAGCAAACTTATAGATCCTTTAAGGGAGTTGGAATCCATAAATTAGCAAATATTTTGTATCACAAAGAAATTCCCTAAGCAAACTACCATGGGAAAATAAGGAACCTAAAGGTGATGCTCCTTCATGATCTGGCTGGGGAAATTAGACATTCTGTAAGGAAAATGGTCATCAAAGTTGGGTAAGAATTGCTAAAGGAGGTGAGTGCTGACAGAGCTTAGTAGAAGCACACATTTACCTCTGGGCTGGTGAGGAATACAGTCTGAAATTGGATGGTTCTGAATATTTATTTCTACCCTTGGACAGTGTTGATGCAAAAGCAAAACTCTTATCTGAAGGTGAATAAGAGATAATTCATTTTGGAGCCAAATATGAGTGACTGTGACCCAAGAACACAGATTCAGGTTACCCCAAATTCCATCTTCCAACATGGTAACGCTTTCATAAAGTTTTTATAGGAACAGAACAAAGAAAAGTCATAAGTCAAGACACTTTTCAAATACCTTGGTGGAAACATTAAGTAGGCGGATACAGCAAAAAAGAAATCTCAGCTCTAGGCCACCAGCCTCTTGGTTGGTGGAAGCTGGTGGTCTGCTAAGTTAATACATTCCAAAAGGTTTTTATCTGCTAGTCACAGGTTGTTAAAAAAAAAAAAAAAAAAGGTGGGCAAAGGGTGACTACTTAGGCTAAAGATGGCCCAAGATAAATGATAATTGGGTTCTGGACCTGCAACATTCCAAACTCTCCACAATCACTAAAGTTCTTATCAGTTGATCAAGCCTTTGTAGAATGTTCAGTTTTAAGATGCAATTTTTCTGGGAACTTTTGTTCACAACAGCTTTGAAGATTAGAGAAATTTAAGAGAATTAGCTACTTTTGGTTTTATTGGACTGTGGGCATACTCTTGACAGAAAGTGAGAATTATCATTGCTTGTACTTTGGAGTAAGTATCAAAGACTCTGTTTTAGTTTTCTTGGACTGTGGTCACAATGTGTGTCAAATTGGAGTAGGATCAAACTCAATAGCATCATTTTAATCCAATTACCTCTGTAAAGTCTCATCTCCAAATGCATCTGAGATGCTGTGCTAAAGCTTCAACACTTGGCATTAGGAGGACACAGTTTAGCCCATCAGGCTCCATGGGGTATTCCATTGAAAGGACAGGTCAGAAACTTGTGCTTAATTTCTCATCCTGCCAAGTACCAGATGTGTCCCAAGATCAGTTAACCCTTTGATACTTAGTTTTCTGAGCATTAAAAAGCTTTTGTTCACTATGAAAGTCACACAGAAAGTGACCAGGCATAACTTCACCAAGCCTCATTTTCTTCTTCTAAATAAAATTAAACCTATTGGTGTGGTGGTGTGTGATTGTAATCAATCATCTCTGACAACTCTTTAATGAATACTGTCTGATTGCTATAAGTATGTGTAATTTTTGGTCCAAACTTGTATCTATTGAAAATAGCAACAATGTCATATTCTATGATAACAGTTTTTCAGGCGTATTTATTAATTTATTATTAAAACAGTCTTGGAACTATTATGCCAAGTTAACAAAGATAATAACCAAGTATCTAACCAAGAGGCATGTGTTCTCTTTGAATAGTTAATTTTCATTTCTCCTGCCTATATTTGAGAACATGAGTTGCCATTTTCAAAACATGAAAAGAGGAGCCATGTGTGGAGGAGGCACACTCCTATAATCCTAGTACTCAGGAGGCTGAGGCAGGTGGATCATAAGAATGGGGCCAGTTTAGTTATATAGAGAACTTTATTAAAAAGAAGAACACCTATCTTTTTCCTTTTAACTTTTCTTGCTGAAGGAAAGATACTAAAAAGTCATATACATAAGCAAGATAGAGGAAGACATGCCTGGGGAGGTGTGAAAGAAATAGGGTAAACACCTAGGTGTATCAGAAGAAATGTAGACATAAAGCTTTTATATAGCAGAAGCAAGTTTTTCTGAACTCAGTCCACAAACTTGAACCTGAGCCTTGGCAACTTTCTGGAAATTGGTGATTTCATTTGCCCAGTATACAGTGTGGGCTGCTAGAGGCCAGCACAAGCTCATCAAGAATGACTTCTGCTGGACTACTCTTATTCTCATGCATAAAACCAGAGCAAATGTTAACAGAATATTTCTGAACCTTGACAAACAACCAGCTAGCTGGCTAAAAGTTTCCTATGGCAAATAAAGAAATTAATTTTGGGTGGTCATAAAATTGTTTGCATTCATAACTGGTTGAATGACACGGGTAAGGGTCAAAATCACAGATCAACATTTATCGAAGGTGTCTTTACCCAGTCTGGACCTATTTTTGCCAATCTTACATGAAGATGTCAGTCATGTTATCACACTTTCTGACCTAAGGCAGAAAAATGGGAGAGGAGCTAATATATTAGATGACAGAGTAAAATATGAAAGATGCATTGAGTAGGCAAAGGTGAAATGTATTAGGGATAAGCAAAATATATTTAAAAAGTGGAGCTAAGGAGGTAACTCAGTGGTAGAGTACAACCTTAGCATGCACAAGGCCCTAGATTCAATTCCCAGAATCAGAATTAAATTATATAAAACATTTCTTTGGGACTCCAAATGCCTTAAGAACAAGCTAGAAAAAAAAACAGAACGTGGTAGCACCATCTGTAAAAAAGAAAGGTCAGCATGAAATAACAATGGAATGTGATGGCCTGAAATGCCATAAAGGTTTCTGTTATTATCATAGAATTGGGATGATTCGAATGGGACAAGTCTGCTGTGCCACTCTTCTCCAGTCATACCTTACCACACACATAATTCCATTTTCAAACACTCAGGGTTAGAAATATGTCCCCATGTTGGACCATGCTCTCTGGAGGAGGGTGAGGGAAGTTGCCACCATGTCTCATAGGATAAACTTGTATTATTTGGAATAGGAAACTCAGAGAACACAGATGGTTTTCATGTGAACTTGAGCAGCACTGAGTGGGGATCATGGTGCTGAAGGAAGATGTACATGGAAGATACATCTTCACTAAGGGCCAGAGGTGCATTAGATCTCCTGGTAGGAAAACTTTCTGTAATAAGCCATGCTATAGGAGAGAGACTGTGCTGCTCAGAGCTGTTCTCTGCCTCCCACAGAGTATCTGATAACCAAGGAAACCTCCCCTAGAGCCTCATCCTTGTAGGCTATGGGCTCCCTAGTTCAACTTTTATCCTTATGGTCCTACTTGCACCTTGTGTTCCATGTGGGCTGAGGGAGGAGCCAGAACCTAGGGTTCCAACGCTTTCCATGAAGAGCACTCCCACCTGCTCCATGCAGCTGTCACAGGGTTCCTAGACTCCCTAAGGCACTGACTTTTAGGAAAATGAGAACTTTTCTAGATTGTATTGAAAAGGTTAAAAGTAATAGAAGACTGAGGGAAATCCATAGCACAACACTTTTTCTCCTTGCCAGATAAATTGTTTTCAGTCATCTCTTTAAAAAACTATTATCCTTATTCCAGGATGCTTCATCTTGCTTTGAACTTTTGTGGTATTTGATTCCCTTAAAATAAGTGTCTACATTGTATGTATGCTGACATGCTTTAACTCTATCACGCTGACACTTTCTAGAGGTAGCTGGTAGTGATTTAGGACCAGCCCGAGAACACAGTGCCTGACACACTATAATGAATGAATTCCAGATGCTGCTGATTCATCCTTATCATCACTGTCACCAGTATCATGAATATATACTCAATGAATATGTATATTTTTCTCAATTAGACAGAGACCTTGTCATTTCTGTCTTTTGTCCTCACTGCCCAACACAGTCTATAAAATAGTTAATAACCTGGTTATTGAACAATTGAGACAGTCTTGCCCTGTTAGCTATATAATTGTCATCTTTCACACCCTGAAAAACATTGAGATTCAGCAGTAGTTTCTTCAAGAGTCTGTCTGTTTGTCTGTCTGTCTCTGTCTTTCTGAGAAGCTCTTAGAGCAGGGGAGATCAGAAAGTCAGGGCTAGGAGGGACCTTTTCTATTTCCCAGTGTACCCACTTTGTTTTTCAAAGTACATGCTAAGATGCTACGGTTCATCTTGGCTTAAAGTGGGCATGATTAGAGGTCTGTAGATTCAAAGGAAGAGATTTAGAAGACAGCTGAGTCAGAGCAATGTAGTTTTAAATTTTTTTTTCATGTCAATACATTATGTTGTAGTTTATTTGGAATTTGGTTTTTGCTTTTAAGAGGAGCACTTACAAATGTTGAATATTAACACTAGCCAGAGATAATTTATTTTAAAAATGGTAAAGAGAACACGATGTTCACTGCAAATGTAAATGACAATCAGGTATCAGGAAGTTTATTAAGAGAGTGCATTGTGCTGCTGATTATCTGCTTTCTAAATATTACCACAAAATATATTTTGAATACATAATAAGCCATGATTGCATTGGCAAAAAAATTTTCTGATATGCAGAAGATATGAAAAATAAGCATTTTGCAACTCCAATTGATTATAAGGATTGCCATTCAACAAAGGCCAGGGCTCTACTTTAGAAGAACTTCATTTATCCCTTGCTGACAATAGAGAACCTAAGGAATCCAGAATGGATTTCCAGGTATTTCTATTTATTGCACTTCCCAAATATACCAAAGGAGGGCAACATGCACATGGTCAACTTAAAAACTGCATCTTTGGTGGCCTAACTGAAATGCAGTAGTTGTCTAAATCTGTCAAAATTACAGCACAGTTAGAAAAGTTATTGTTAGTTTTAGGAGGGCAGGAAAAGGAAGGAGTTTAAAGTTTAGAAATAAGAGTCAGAGCCAGACCTGCAACAAGCAAGGAATGTGCTCCCTGGATTCAGGAAGCCCAGCAAAGGGCTGATAGCTGTTCCTCAAGGAATGATTATCTGTGAACTGAAGAGGGAGCAGTCTGGTCTTATATAGGAACTCTGCTGCACACAACTGCAAGAGTTAACTCCATACCGGGGTCTGGTGTCCTTGAGGGTCTCTTTTCTGAAGATTATTTACTCAGGCAGGCAGATGAGTTATCTATAGCACTAAAGGAGATAGGTGGGCTCCACAAACAGTCTCTCTCAGTCCAGGGAGTGACCAGTTGATAAGGCTTGAGCAAGGCCAGACTGTCAATTTAGGGCCAGTTAGCCACTGTAAGGAATTTATGTCTTTATGGCCTGCTCTGATGAAGCTTATGGCTCTCCTGAAATTCACATATTCTATCAGTTATTGAGAAGGCCAAAAGGAACTGACAAAACATTTTAAAAAGACAGTGGAATGCATTCCTAAAGACTCCAGAGAGTTTATACAAAAGAGAACCTTTGGAGCTAATCAAACTGCAAAATGAGAGAAAAAGAGTTAAGGAAAAATGAAAAAACTTTCCAAGTTTTGAGAAAGCAGACTTGTAGGATTTGAAAGACTATGATAATCTAAATACCAGTTAACCTAGAATCATATTTTTTCATTCCTGTTAATAAGAAATAGTTAAGCTACAAATAAGATCACTGTGTAAAAGGCCCTCTTCAATAATATTTGCTAAAATTAACTCAAATCAAACCTGCCTTATATTACATTCTATATTGCATTAGACAGCTCCAGTGTATTTCCAGTGTCTTACATAAAAGCATCAGTAATTTTAATGAATTTTGATATTCTGTAGCTACCAAATTCTAGCAAGTGTTGTTATAACTCAGAATATATTGGTTTTAGAACAAGTAATATGTAGATGCAAGCTTTTAAAGGTAAATTTCAATAGCCTTTTCAAACCTGAAACACTAGAATTTATGATGAACTGGATTAAATAATTTTACATGTCTAAATAGTTCGCCAAAGATAATGCTTGAATTATTTAAGAATAATTTTCAAATCCAACTTTCATTTTAACTTTTTTTTTTTGTCTTTTTTGAGACAGGGTCTCCTTGTAGCCCCAGCTGTCCTGGAACTCACTATGTAGACCAGGCTGGCCTCGAACTCACAAAGATCTGCCTGCCTCTGCCTCCCAAGGGCTGGGATTAAAGGTGTGCGCCACCACACCTGGCCCATTTTAACTTATTTTAAGAAAACTTTTTTTCAAAAATAGAATTTACTTATTTCCAATTAACCCTATATATGTTTCTAATATCATGAACCTGATGCTAGTGAGAAGACAGATCTTTAATGATTTAATCTAGTGTGAATCATAGTATGTGGGTCAATTTTCTTTTTTATGTCATGAGTATTGTGCCTGCATGTATGTAAGTGTACCATGTGCATGCAGTGCCTTAGGAGGCCAAAAAGAGTGTCAGTTCCCCTGGAACTGGAGTTACAGTTGTCAGTTGCCTTGTGGGTGCAGGGAATTCGAACCCCAGTCCTCTGCAAGAGCAGTCAGTGCTTTTCACTACTGAGCTATGTCACTCGCCTTCATAATGCTTTTAAAGTAGTGAAAACAAAACTGAATAAATTGAGTACCCATTAATTCAGGTTAACTTCTTCCATCAATTAAAGTGACTAATATATATATATATATATATATATGTGTACACACACATACATACATATATATATATATAATGAACCTTCTAAGATTTCTGCTAGCTAACAATTATTTTTAACATATAAAATCAATTTTCAGAAAACTGTAAGGATGATTTCCTTGTTCAATATCTTATTAATCACAGAAAATGTGATATTCTTGCCTTTCCCAAAGTACCTATGGGGATGACAATATTCTTACATCTCCTCAAAATAAAAATCAGTTGTCTGAATATAGTCAGTTTTGGAACAGCAGATGTAAGTAATCAACATCTTGTTCAAGTTCAGAAGTTGAAGGTTTCTGTTGTGTTTAAATAATAATAGACTTCATTTCCAGAGGCATCAAAATACCAAATATGAATGACCACATATGACCTAATGTACTTTAGAAATCTTGTTACTAATTTTGTGTCACTAATTTTTCTAATATTGTATTTAAGAAAATAAAGGGGGGAGGGGGCTTTCTTCTATTAGCATTAGACAAGGGAAAAAGAAAGCAAAACACTGCTTAAGTTAGATGTTTCTGAGTGAATCCACATTCCTCACTAAATCTCAGGCACTGCTTTAGTTACTGTTGCTAACACCTTGTTCTGTCATCTCTTTGTATACATGTCTAATTTATTAGTTTCTTGTAGATTGTCAGCAGCCTGCTGCCTCCGTACCGCCACAGTGCTCACAACTAGCCGGGAGGCAAGACTGCCCAACTGTCAGGTAAATTCACACATCCTTCTTCCTCCCACCAGCTGCATGTCAGCTCCCTTTCTCAAGAACACAACTACCAGTTGCATACATCATTATATGTTACTGCATGTTACTTCACATATGGGCTGTATGAGTACAGGTTTGATACCTAAAGTCCGTATGTTCCCTCTGAGCCTGTATTGTGCACTAAAGGCTTCTTTAGCGCCCTCATGTGAGTAATATAAATATGAATGTTCAATCAATCTTAGTGGAATTCTAGAGTGCAGTGTTTGGAAATGTGGGCCCTGAACCTACAGTCCAGACTCCACAGAACAACCTCCCTCATGTGGGGCTTGGGACAGTGCCACCATAAGACAGATGTTCTATAACTACTGACTACCTGAGTGAACAAATGAGCTCTGGAGTCAGACTACTTGTCTTTGAATCCCACCTCTCACACCAGTATACGTATAATCTTGGAAAGCTTCTTCTTCTGGCTAAGTTCTTTCTTCACTTATAAGGTAAGGAGAAAAATAGACATTGGGGTAATTCAGAGATGCTGGGCCTGGCATGTGTGCCCTATCTGCTCTCAGCACTAAGGCTTCTGAGCACCACCAGCCTTGACCAAAATTGATTGTTTTGTGACCAATCCAGTTCACTTGGGCACAAAGTTGGAAAAGGCTTTAAGTATTGCTTAAATTTCCATGTGATAGGAAATGGGAAGATGTTCCTTTTTTTTTTTTTTTCACTCTGTTCTCTTCTGAGGTTACTGAATTTATGTTTTTCCTATCTCCATAGGGATGATTTACTTGAAAAAGAAGCAATTTAGTAAATATAGAGGCTTCTGGTTTCTAGACAAGTGCAGACAGCATGGTCCAGAGCAGATGTCTCTCCTTCCTCATTAGAGTACACACAGAGAAATGATTAATGTATAGAGACGTGAAAGAATTCCTGTTCAGGGTGGCTGGGTACTGACTGGCTTCCTGCCCAGCAGGCTTGCTATAGGATCTGAGTCCTGCTGTATTGCTCTCGCCCTCCTTTTTGGCAGAAAAGGTAGCACACAGCCAACATTAGAACTTACATTGGGGATTAGGTAATGGTAAATTCTTCACATGAGCTAGTCATTGCAATCCCCCATAGATTAAGCAAGTATTACTCTCTTCTAAATGAGGAAATCCAGGGTTAGGCAGTTAAGACAACTATTGAAGGTCACATACCCAGATCACAAATGAGCCTAGTGGCTTAACTCCCATCCTCTGTCCAGTATGGTGCACAGCTTCACCTTGGAGCAAGGAGCCTCTCATTTACCTACCGTTAGTGGCACAAAGAAAGCATGCTTTCTTTGGCCATACAAAAATACTCATCTTTCTTTTGGAAGAAAAGAAAAGATTCATATAAAATCTTTAAAAACAAAAACCAAAAAACCCTGTCCTTCTAGCTCTCATAGTATCACAAGGTGCTATCTAAGCTGCCAATGGAGAAAAGGAGTCAATAGTCCTACCCAGCTGTAAAGCCTACAAATCGCAACAATGACTGGCTCAGCAAAATACCCCCAATGGTACAATAGTGGCACTTTTATCTTGTGGGGACGGGGTGGGGATAACCAAGATAAGTCTATTGAACTTAAGGCCTGCTCAGTAGGAGGGAATTCATGCCTGATACTGTTAACTTAGCCAAATGCACATGGCTGAAGAAGTCGTAGACCCCAGAGAAGAACTTACTACTGCTGCTTTTCTAAACCAATATAATTTCTTAATACTTATCCTTATATCCAAAAATAAGTGTAGTTCTCACCACTCATCAAAGAAGCTTCTTTTTGCAAGAGATAGAGACTATTATAAAGTTCCACAACTGGTCAAAATGTAGAGAATAAGTGACCATGGGGTGCTCAGCTCCAATTGATACATCTACAATGTAACCCCTACACCTAAGGCTCAGGGACCATGGAGAAAGAGGGCGTGGAAAGACTGTAAGAGCTAGAGGACCAGGATACCTGCTCCTAGATAGTATCTTCTAGACATGACAGTGAAACTTCAACTATGAAATATCAATATGGTTGTCTGAACAAGATCTGCATAATGATAACACCAGTGAACATGCCAATGTGACTGGGGGAAATTTCACAAAGTCCCACCTTTAGGTGAAGAGCTGCAGGCAATCAATGACTGCTGAGGGAGGGAGAATCAGTTTTCTCCAGATCTGAGCTCCTTGGTAGGTTATCCAATACCAAGTAGTCAGCCATATGCACATGTTCACATAGACACCACTAAATGAACTCAGTAAAAATTGTTGCATATGACAGCAGTAATCAAAGAAGAGAGGGAGTTGGGGACAGGCATGGAAAGAGCTGTAGTGGGGTGGAAACAATATGAATACAGTACTCATGTATGAAATTCTCAAAAACAATGATAAAAAAATACTGTGTCCTTCTTGTATAATGTGATGACTACAGTACTACTTACTATAACTTATGCTGTACTACATAATTAATTCCTTAGAAAGAAGTTAACTTTAAGATTCACAGAAAGAAGGTCAGGCGTGGTGGCTCACGCCTTTAATCCCAGCACTTGGGAGGCAGAGGCAGGCGGATCTCTGTGAGTTTAAGACCAGCCTGGTCTACATAGTGAGTTCCAGGACAGCTGGAGCTACAGAGAGACCCTGTTTCAAAAAGACCAAAAAAAAAAAAAAAAAGATTCACAGAAAGAAACCATAAGACCTGGGAAAGTCTGCCTGATTTATTGGTAACCTGCTGTTTCCTTAACCATTGACTTTTGGGAAGGTCAATGACAACCTTTCCCAGCATTATTTTATTCTTGTTCTTTTTAATTGATAAACCCATACACTATCTTCTTAGTCTTTTGTTCCTCTATGTTTATTTACATTTTATTTTTGATTTATTTACTTTTATTTCATGCATATGAGTATTTTGCCTGCATGTATGCAGATGCATCATGTGTGTACAGAACCATGGAGGCCAGCAGAGGACATTGGATTCCCTGGAACTGAAGTTATGGACAGTCGTTAGCCACCACGTGGGTGCTGGGAGCCAAACTGGGTCCTCTTGAAAAACAGCTGGTACTCTTAACCCTAATCCCCTATGTACTACATTTTAAACAGGCAGGAAATGGGCTTGGGGTATGGCTCAGTCACAGAGTGCTTGCCTTGGCTGTATGAGGTCCTGGGTTACATTCCAAGCATCACCAAAAGAAACAAAGGAAGCAGGAAAAATTGTTCTTACCACTGGTCATCCTAATCAGTATAGAACAGCAGTTTTTTAAAACTAATTTACAGTGCTTCAAAGAGCTCAGAAAGTGACTTCATGCGAGCTATTTCCATAATTATTATTTTATATTAAGGATCAAGAGATAAACCTGGGCTAAATTTCAGTACCAGAAATTCAAGAATATTTGTTCAATGCAAATTTTTTTTTTTTCTTTTTTTTCTTTTTGAAACAGGATCTCTCTGTAGCCCCTGCTGGCTTGGAACTCACTATGTAGAACAGACTTGATTTTACAGATATCCACCCACCTCTGCCGGGGTTAAAGTCATGCACCACCACACCTGGCCCAATGCAAATTTTTAAGGACATGTTAGTTTTAAAGACAATTTAAATAAATAAATAAATAATAAATAAATAAATTAATAAATAAAGCTTGGAATACACTCCCAATGGAAATGAATTACATGATACTAAAATTTATAATGTATGGGAAAGTAGACCATATTTTCCGATTTTAAAAAATTCCACGTGGTGCCTTTTTCACACCACTAGTTACTTTTTAAAATATATGAACCCAACTATGTTTTGTAGTTTTACCCTAGGAAACCCAATGGATTTGCTTATTTTTCAAGATTATATTATTATTGGTTTTGTTTGTTTGGGTTTGTTGTTGTTGTTGTTGTTGTTGTTGTTGTTTGGGACAGGTTCTCCTTGTAGCCTGGACTCACTATGCAGACTAGGCTGGCCTCAATCTTACTGAGATTCACCTGCCTCTGCCTTCAGAGTGCTGGTGTTAAAGACGTGCACCACCACACCTGGTTTATTTTTCAAGATTATTTATCAAGACATTGCAGAGTCTGAGAGCAGGTTCATTTCACCAGGGGGCTCTCAGTTGTGGCCTGTTGTTTAGAAGACTGCATTATTCACTTAACAAAGTCTTCAGTCTTTTTTAATTTTAATACCACCAAGCCAAAGCAGGTAGGAGAAACTGTTAAAGCAAACTATGATTTGCAGAAATCAACTGTCTTCCTTTGTCTGTATCTACCAGTGAACTCTAGAATCTTATAAGCTCCAATGTGTTGGTCCATGGGCCAGCACCATCTGAATCCCAGTGAACTCATCAGAAATACAGACTCTAGAGCCCTTGGGTGATGTGCACCCACATTAAAGTTAGAAAAGAAATGACCTGGGCCTGAAGAGGTGACTCAGTGGTTAAGAGCACTTGCAGAGGACCTGGGTTCAGTTCCCAGCACCCACATGGTGGGTAACAACTGTCTGTAACTTTACTTCCTGGAGAATTTGACTCCCTCTTCTGGCTTCTGTGGGCATTGCACACACAGGTGCAGTGAGATACATGCAGGTGAAACACTCATACACACAAAATAAAAATAATAAATAAAATTTAAAAAAGAAAGAACTCTTCTAATGACACCCTACAGTCAAACCTAGAGACCAGGAGGTAGGGACTTTGGGCAAAAACTGAACACTGTTGCTTCCAGAGACAAGTTCATATATCATTTCCCAACATGCTTCATTTTTCTTTTCTTTTTTTTTTATTCTTTGCTTTGAAATCCACATTTGTCTTGGCATGCTTTGTATTTAAACTATTTTCTATACAAAATTTTTGTTCATATTTTTATTTATTATTTTAATTTTATGTGTATGAGCATTTTGCCTGCATGTATGTAAGTGTACCTTGTGCATGCAGTGTTTGCAGAGGCCAGAAGAGGGTGTTGGATCCCCTGGAACTAGAGTTATAGATAGTTGTTAGCTGCCATGTGGATGCTGGGAATCGAACCCAGGTCTTCTGGAAGAACAGCAAGTGTTCTCTTTTTTTTCTTTTTTTGAGACATGGTCTCTCTGTAGATACAGCTAGTCTGGATTCACTATGGAGACCATGCTGGCCTCAGATTCACAGAGATCCACCTGCCTCTGCCTCCCAAGTGCTGGGATTAAAGGCATGCATCACCACAGCCAGCTTGCAAATGTTTTTAATCTCTGAGCCATCTCTCCAGTCCCCTGTTCATATTTTTTAAATGTGTATTATAATAATTTGTCTGACCCTTACAGTATGTCTGGCCTTTCACCAGTGTATTTCTGCTAACTGCCTTGTTTCTCATTTTCAGCCCGGACGTAGCTCTTCCTGAGGAGCAGCCACATTCCAGCTCACAGTGCACCCCTCTCCACTGTCTCGTCAAACCTCCTTACCCCTAGTCTTCATCTCCCAAGGATGAGCATCTGGGCTGAAGGTTTTGTAGCCACACACAGGACACTGCTCAAGATCCAGCAGGTGTTTTTTTTTTTTTTTTTTTTCCCTTGGATATTGGATATACAAGGATTTCTGTCTACCATTTTGGAAGAAGAGAGAGAATTGAGAAGAATAACACAAAGCACAGACCCTGGTGTGATCAAATATTGTACGGTTTATCTGAGTCATAGATGAACTGCAATCAAATATCAACATTTCAATTAAAGAAAATGAAATGAAATGTGTATCTCAGATGGCTGACTTTACCTAGGTAGCATTAAAGAGACCCAAGACAATGTAAAATAGATACATTGTAAAATCATCTTTCCTTACACTCCAAAGTCAGCCTCAAAAGTTGAATCCAGTATTTTTTGTTGATATTTATTTTATACTTTGTTTGCTATGTGATTTGAGTCTATAAAGATAATTTCTATAAGAAAATTTGTTTATTTTTAAATAAGCATAGTTTGCTCAGTTAAGTTTTAATTTAGTTTGAAATCTGGAACTGGCCAGATTATGATTCTTTTTCTTGCACAAAATTACAAATGAGGTGCATCAGAATGTTAACAATACTGTATTTTGCTGCTACACTGATATTGTTTATGCAGTTACCTTATAATCAGTAGCTCATTAACTTCTGGAAGTTTTATCGACTAGTTCTTCACTGGACATCATTAAGTAAATCTAAGAATGAAGCTAAAATGTGAATCATTGACTTAATCAAGTTCCAATGGCATCCTTAATTTTTTCAAATTGCAGTTGAGTAGATGCTTTGGTGCTGCTCCTGTGTTTGTGTGTGTGTGTGTGTGTGTGTGTGTGTGTGTGTGCGTGCGTGCGTGTGTGTGTGTGTGTGTGTGCCTTCGTGCATGCATGTGACAGTGTTAAAGAAGGGTAAATAACTTGAAGAGAAGAAATGGTGTGTTTATTTAAAGACCGCAATGTCTTTTTAAACTTTTTCCAAATTTAGGGTCTTACTATGGGTTTCCTCCTATCAGGTATCAAGAATAAATGCGAAAATATATACATAGATAGATGTAGTCTTGATTAGTTAATTTACCAAGAAAGTGTTTCTGTTGTTGTTGCTTTTTTTCATAATGAATCTTTCTTGCCAAAAAACAAAAGACAATAAACCTTAGCTCGTTGTTTACTTTTGACAAACACTCAGGTGCCTACAGTCATATTATATTGAGATAAGACATGTTCCTACTTAATTTACATTTTATGCTAGGTAACTTTTTTGTCCTGGTCTTTTTGAGACAGGGTCTCTCTGTAGCCCCAGCTGTCCTGGAACTCACTATGTAGACCAGGCTGGCCTTGAACTCACAGAGATCCACCTGCCTCTGACTCCCTAGTGCTGGGATTAAAGGCGTGTGCCACCACACCCAGCACTAGGTAACTTTTATGACTTGATTTAAGGCAGTGGATTTTCACAGCAAAATTTGTTTTGCACATAATCTGACAAACAGGGACAACAGCTAACTGAGCTGCAAGGTCTAACTTGTGCTCCTTAACTCCCAAGTGCTGCTCACATAACTGCTCCTAACCCTGATTCCTTGTCCTTGTCAGGTAGCCTTAACTTATTTAAAAACATATGGATTTCGCTTTTTCATGTAATAGTATCTAACTTCTCTTTAAAACAAAACTGGTTCTCACTGTTAACACAAAGGATTACTAAGGGTGTTTAGTGCCACCCATGGAGATTTCAGAGCTACCCAGCTTGTAGAGTGGATGGGGTAGCACATACACGGAGTGATCAATCAAAGGCCAGCAGCCAATCACAAAGCAGCTTCAGGGACATTTTGTTGGTCAGGTGCCTGTTAAGTAGCAGTCACTAAAAGCAACTCAGAGGTTTTGTGCCTCTTATCTGGATGTTGATTTCAAGCATCATTTTTATGCAACTTGGAGTAATAATTGAAATGGTCACCAAAATAGAGATTCAGGTTAAAGTACAGAACTACATAAAACAGATCTACATGCAAGTCCTAATCAATCAGAATTCCCACATGCTTGTTTCTGCTTGTATTGCCGTGATGTTCCAATGCATTCTCCTCATTTACTGGTATTGTATCTGCCTGGAATTAGTGAGACTGTGGATTTTACTAGAGTTCAATTAGAGACAGCTTGTCCTTCATCTTCTCTTTCTTTTCCTCCCCCTGACCCCCTTTCATAAGCATGTGTTTGGACCTGAGAAGTAGCAGAGCTGCTGAGTTGACTGTGTGCCTGAGGGAAGACATGCCTTTTGAACAAGAACCTCAGAACATCTTTCTCATCTGTCAGTTTTGTTTGTGGGTTGGGACCTCAGTGGTAGGTCTCCTTTCTGTATATCTACTGTTGACAGGGGCGCATTGTGTTCATGTACATAGTTTAATTTCTTCCAATCTGAAATTCATCATTAAGTCCATTACACAGCAGTTTTGTTTCAGTTGTGTATTTGAATAGAGTGGAAAATGCTTGTTTTGAATCATTAATTCTATAAAACATTAATTTTAGCAGGGCTTTGTCAAGATAAAGAAACTTTGAAATAAATTTCTCATTTTCAATACAAAAGTAGGTGGTAGTCCGTAAGCAGTAAGAGAAAATATGATATAGTAGCATCATTTTATATAGTTTAAGGTGAACCATATTTTTGCTTATTTACAGACCTTTTTAGTGAATAAATATGTGTAAGGTTGATAAAAATGAGTATCTGCAAAGATAATATCAAGATGTAACAGGCAAGTGAAAAACTATGGAACTCACAAAACATTAATCTCAGTAAAATTAATTGAATGTGCATTTGAGGATGAAAAGTAAACTATAGAAATACAAACGTGCTAATTATTGTAAACATGGTGAGTAACGGTGGAAGGTAATGTGAAAGGGTAGTTAGCAAAGTAACCAAGTATTATTCAAAAAAGTTTTCATCACATTTATTGTATGTATGTGTGTGTGCCAGCGTACAAAAATGCATGTGTGCCATGGTATGTGTGCAGAAGCCAGAGAAAAAACTGCAAGAGTTGGTTATCGCCCTCTTTCATGTGGGTCCTGAAGATTGAACTCAGGTCGTCTAGCCTGGTGGTCAGCGCCTTCCCCCACTGAGCCATAGAACTTCACCTGCTGGCTCCCAAGTATGTTTTTTTAAAGTAAGCACAATTACAAAGCTGAAGAGAGTTAGTATGCAGAAATGCTTTCCTACTAGGATTTTTCATTAAAAACAGCAAAATAAAAAGGAGCAAGAAATGTTTTGGCCTAAATGCTTAGGCACAGCAAAACAAACCTTGGATGAACCCCTTTCACATATCTAATTCTGGACCTTAGAAAAAGAAAAGAAAAAAAAAGGAATTTGGAAAACTTCTAGAAATATAAATTTGTTAAATAATTAAGAAAAGACTTATTTGAAAATTGTACTTTATTTTTGCCTAAAGGAGAGGAGGTACAATGGCCCAAGAAAAGAATTTAACAAATGACAGACACAATAAGACCAAGTGTGAAGGATTAGTATTAATTGCAGGAAAGATATTTTTCTTTTTGAGACAAGGTCTCATTATGTAGGCCTGACTGTCTTGGAACTTGTGGTGTAGACCAGGCTGGTCTTGAACTCATAGAGCTCTGCCTGTCTCTGCTTTCCGAGTGCTGGGATGAAAGGCAGCCACACCCCAATAGGAAAGAGATTTTTTAAAATATTTTTTATTATTTTTATTTTATGTGTATGAGTGTACTGCCTGTTTGTATATAAGTGCACCCATGCAATGCAATGCCTGCAGAGGTCAGAAGATGGTGTCGGAGGCCCTGGAACTGGAGTTATGAATGGTTGTTAGTTGCCATATGGGTGCTGGGAACTGAACCCAGGTCCTCTGCAGTAACAGCTAGTGTTCTTAACTGCTGATCCATTTCTCCAGCCCTGGGAAAGAGATTTTTAACAGTGGAAAATTAATCATTGGATAGTTATAAGGACTATTTGTTTTTAAAATGGGAATGTTATTGTCTGTCTAGTAAGTTAAATAGCAACATATCTTACAATGATATATTATTTTGGGAGCCTATAATCTGATGATTCTTTTGAAATTTAAAATAGATTAAATTTTTACTGATTGGTCATAGAATATTTTCACTTTTGAACTAAAGTAGCAATCTTAATTTTTCCAAGGTACTTTTTTTAAAGAATTTTCATTTTTCCTTTCAGCTGTACGTCAGAATTTCTACATAGTTGTCCAGAATGCGGCAATTTTACTATAAAAATCTTCAGTGTCAGAGTCTGAAAAAAATCCTTAACAATATTTCATAAACAGAAGGTATGCAATCTCTTAGGGATGACAAATACTTCTAAATTTTATTTGCCTCTCCTATGCAGTGGAAAATATTCTGGACGGATAACTCCTACCCTTTCAAATAAGCATGAACCATTGGTCTATTAAACTAGGTAAGAATGTGGAAATATCCTCATATACTATATTAAGTAAAATCATCTCCAGTAACCAAGTGTGGATTATAAATCATGGTATGAAGAAATTAAATACATTTCCTATTTGGATAAGATTGTCAAATTTTATTGTCTCAAACAATTAGTGAAAAGATTTCATCTGTTTTAGAAAGAAATCAGTGGCCAGAGCGAGGCTGTAGCTCAGTGACAAGGTGTTTACTGTGCCTGCTTGAGGCCCTGGATGTGCCTGCACCACAAAGCAAAACAAAACATGATGGGTTTCCCACATATAACTGTGATGATTCAGTCCAAGGATGTCACAAATGAACTACTGCATATGTAACTAAACTTGAAAGGAACATCTAGGATTTTTTAAAAGTCCATGAAAAAGCCTTTTTCTTTGTTCTTTTTATAAATCAGAGTGATTTAAAACTATCTTTGTATTTAAGGCTGCAAAAATTACAGTAATAAGTTTTCAAATAAAACAAATGCAACTGTTCAAAAAGCTGATGAAGTGAAGTTATGGTAGTTATCTTGGTCAGTGCTGATGCCGACAAACAATTCCTCACTTTAAAATCAGTATCTGTGGACATCAAGACCAACCTAGCTCCTGAGTGACCTTTTCCATTTTCTGTAATAATGTCTAAAATTACGTTCATCTTTATTTAAACACTATCTTAACTAGCATAGTCCCTGGTATATTTGTAGCCTGGCTATGTTATTTTAATACCTGTAAGATTTCAAACGAGACACCTCTTTCATCTTACTACTTAAAATGTAATTGACAGAGATAATTGGTGTTAAGATATGTTCCCTGATTGAGAATTTTCCAGAGGTGATTATTTATTTAAGAAGAGAAGCAATTCACTACATTTAGTGTAAGGCAAGAGTGTAAGATGTTTGCATGAACTATTTCATGTCATGTAAGCTTTTCCATATGCATAACATGAACATTATCTAGAACTCTTCTCTTATGATCTCTCCATTAAGAATGTTAAGGAGACTGTTTCATGTACCAGGTCTCCTTTCTGAATTAAACTGCATGACTCTAGTCCTCAGTGCATTTTGCACTTCTTTCTTGAGTTATTTAAAAATCTGCCGTATTTGAACTGAAGCTTAGATGACTTGCTGAGCCAGATAATTTCTGAGGTTGGAATTGAGTTGCTATACAGCACTGCTGAGAATTTATTTTTATTTTAACATTATTTCTTTCATAATTAGTCACTGCTCATTATAATTCCCTAATGAGAACATTGAGAAGTAAATTTGATGCTTCTTAGTGTGAACGTATGTTTTTCTTTTTAAAAAGCTATTTTAAAAATGATCAGAAAACTATAAAGTTAAATGAAATAACACTACCTTGTTGACAAATCCTTATCTGTAATAATGGAGACATAGAAAGAATCATTGCATTCATAGCTATGATTGTGCGGCAAATCAGAGGAAACACATTTTAATGTTATTGCCACAGAATTTTTTAAGCTCAGTGATTTGACAGTTAGAATCAATTAAAAGATACTTTGGAAATATTTTATGGCATTTTTGTAATATATTCAGTATTTTTATTTGTACAGTTATGCATATGTGATGAACCAAACATTATTCTGGGTTTTTTTTTTTGTTTTTTTTTTTTTTTTTTTTTTTTTTTTTTTTGCTTTCCCAAGTTAACATTTGTGTTATGTGTTGCCAAATCTGGTTTTTACACTGTGTGATTATTGTTGTGATTGTACTGCTATTCCTACATTTCAATTGCAATTTTATTATTATGTCTTTGGTAGTTAACTGATGTCAAGTGTGTCCACCTAATAATACTATGTGAAAATATGACTAAAAAACTCATCTAAGAAATGTTTATCTTGCTAATTATTGCT